TCCCCATGCGTAGCAGCTGCCTCTTCGCAGATGAGTGAAAGAGCTCGCTTCATTTTGTCCGGCATAAAGAAAGTGCCTATCATTCTTCCTGTGTCAGGAGGTAATGAACACACGCCTTCCCCGCACCCTGACTTATCACAGAGGGAGCCGACTGTCACATGGGCCTGCAATTAGACACAGCAAGATTTGCCGAGGCAAGCATCCAAAGCTCCAGGGCATAAAGACGACAAAAGAAAACAAAGCAACAGCTTAAATTCTGCAATTGTCTCAATGCAGTAACAATGGAGCCAGAAGAATCTCTTGGACAGAGAAAAGGGCTCATTACTATTTTCCTGGCCTGTCACGAGTTATAATAAAAATGAAGGTGCAGCTGGCTGGGATTCTTCAGAACTGAATCTCAAGTGGGTGTCAGATCTTTTATTTTATTTTATATTCCAAGGTAATCACTGATTCAGTGTGGGGTGGGGTGCAGTCTCCATGATCAGAGGCCAGAGAAATTACCCAGCACTGAGCCCACTTCGAACAAAGACCAATGACTCACCACTTACATCTTCAGGCCACAAGCTCTCCTATCTGGACAAGGAGGAAAATCGTTTCATGTTTGTGGTGGACGTGTATTGTGCTGGGAGTCCAGGTTACTCTTGTTGGGGGAAACCTTTCCTTTTCTGATTCCAGGCAGACCAGCTGGATAGTGGGCTGAACTTCTGAGACCTTTTCTGAGTAACTTCATTCTCACCATTGGGGTGGTGGCAGTGGGGCGATAAGAGGGTGGATGGTAGGGGACGGGGGTCAGTGATGCTCAGGCCAAGGTCTTTTCCATACACGGGACTCTGCATAGCTTTCCCCCTTCTCCCTGAACCTGCCAACTTAGCTCTCAGCAGAGAACTAGACCCTGGCACTCTTCAAGCCTCAGTCTACTCAGATGCAAAAGGGGGTAATAACTACACCTCTATCACAGAGTCAATTAAAAGATCAAACCACACCATGTCATAATGGCTAACATTTCATAGTATTTACTCTGGGCCAGGCCCTGTTCTAAGAGCTTTACCCATATTAACTCACCTAATCCCCACAGAACCCTATGAGACAGGAGCATTTTTAGCTGGATTTCATCCATTCTAAGATGAACATTTTCTTTCCCCATTTCAACATCTCTGAAACTGGGGCGCTTCTTATAATTGAAAGTAGGTCATCATTTAATCAGTAGAGTTTTCTTTCTTAGTGGCGCTCACACAATATTGTGATGCCTCTTGAAACGGAAGATGTCTTAGATAAAACACAATGTGACTGTTTCACAGAGGAGGAAACTGAGGCACAGAGAGGCACTGATTTGCTCAAGGCCCCCCACATAGCTGAGTGTCAGAGTTGGGGGTCTGAACCCATGTTGTTTGCTGAAGAATCTTTTTTTTTTTAAATTAATTAATTAATTTTTGTCTGCATTGGGTCTTCGTTGCTGCGTGCGGTCTTTCTCTAGTTGCGGCGAGCGGAGGCTACTCTTTGTTGTGGTGCGCCAGCTTCTCACTGTGGTGGCTTCTCTTGTTGCGGAGCACAGGCTCTAGACGCACGGGCTTCAGTAGTTGTGGCACGCGGGCTCAGTAGTTGTGGCGCACGGGCTTAGCTGCTCCGAGGCATGTGGGATCTTCCCAGACCAGGGATCAAACCCAAGTCACCTGTATTGGCAGGCGGATTCTTAACCACTGTGCCACCAGGGAAGTCCCTTTTTTAAAAAAAAATAATTTATTTTTGAGAACCTCCTCTTTTAATCACTAAGCTAGGATATCACCAAAGCACCCAGTCTAGTTCCTGGCTGTTTCAGGATCTGCCCAAACTAAGGATGCTTCTTTCCTCTCTGCCACCAAGAGACAGAGCTTATGTAAAGGATTCCACACCTTTAGAGTTTTTGCCAAACGCCGTTCCCGCATTTCCATTCTAGAACATGGAGGGGGTGTTCTAAGTGCCCCTCTCTTTTTTAGTCTCTTCTAAAGAAGAAAATGTGGGTCCATGATAATCTACACATGCCCTGCTCCCTCCCTCCCCTATGGCTAATCCCATTAGATTTCTCTTTTGCTTCCTTGGGCAACAAAGGGAAAAGGAACTCCCTAAACAGATTAGGGCGCCCGATTTAGGGCAGGCTAGAAGGTTTCCTCAACAAAAGACATTCAAGCAGGGGATTTGCATACATTATTTATACTCCTTCCATCGAAAAATCCACATGAAGATGCTGTGCAAGGAAGGGTCCCATCATAACATTAGTTATGATAAAGCAACTTCCATCCCCATGAAAAGGAAAATGGCCAGCTTCAGTGGACTGCAGGACCCTTTGGGGATTTCCCCACAAGTGTCACCTATTACACCAGCGCACGGTGGACTCACAGGAAGTGGCATTACCACGTAGCCCAGCTGGTCTCACCTTCCTCCTCTAGAAGCCAGATGCTTCCTCGGATCACTCCTCACTGGACATTTACCTGGCTGCCTGGCATTTATTACCCTCTTTTTATGTGGCATTCCTCTGTTCCCCACCCCTGCCCTGCCCCCAACCAACAAACCTGAAAACTATCTGAAGCCAGTGAGTATGCCTTACACCTTCCCTTTGCATCCCCCGTGGTGTATGCTAACCACTATCACTGTCTGCTTAGCACAGTGAGGCAGGGAGGGCTTGAACTCTCGAGCCAGAGAACTCTGATTTCAAACCATTGCTCTGTGCCTTGCTGACTGGGTGTCCTTGGGTAAAGGGCCTGTCCACAGGGGGCCTTGGTATTGCCATCTATCGCATGAGGAGGTGACAGTTCATACCTCCAAGCGCTGTGGATGGTTGTGAAATATCACATGTTAAGACTTGAGCTCAGAACCTGGCACATGGTGAATATTCAATACATGCCAACCATCATCATTATTATCGCCACTGGTATTAGTGTGTTAAGCCAATAAAACTACAGTTTGTTCTTAGTGTGATTTACACCAGAAGTTGATTCTAATCTCGACATATTTTCTTGTGACTGGCCACTTTCTAGTCGGTCTGCTTTAGATTAATCAACGCTTTAGGGTAGCTCTAAAAAGTTGCAATTTCTGAAGGCATGATACTTCAAATGTGAGCCAGGGACACCCTAGGGTCTTCATTATTTTCTAGCCAGTGAGGCGGAGGCAGCAGGATTTCCATGAGTTTTGTGCCTGAGGTCTTGTTTATCCAACAGTCCCTGGAAGCCTGCTTCCCATCTCTTGACCTCCTGGAGTCCTGCCTATCCTCCTCTCAAGAAAGAGATGATCATTTCAACCTCTGCATCTTCCTCCACCTTCCTCAGTCTCTCTAACCCAAGATGGAAAACTCTATTGCATTTACTTGGCTACATGACCTCTTCCCTCCCCAATCTCCCCCCACACTCGCCCCACACAGGAGTCTGAGTTACCTGTCCTCTGCATTCCCACCACACCCAATGATACATCCCCAGCACATCATTAATCATCCTGCATTACAATAATCTGTTTCTTATCTCTTTTACTTCCCATCCCAAATAGACACACTAAGGATTGTGACGCTTTTCACAAGAGCAGGTATTTAGCACTCAACAGAAATTCAGTAAGTGTTTGCTAAATGAATGAAACCATGTAACGAAAATCTAGGAAGTGCTAAGTATGTGTAAGACGCTATTCTCAGGAGTTTTGGACTTATCATTGAAGGCTCACAGCAATCCCATGAGCAGGTATTATGATACTCCCATTTTACAGACGGCAACACTGAAGCAGAGAAGTTCCGTAACTTGCCCAAGGTCAGAGGGCTGCCAAGAGGCAGATCCAAGGTTCAAGCCAGGCTATTTGGGTTCACCACCCACATGCTCACACTCATCGCTGCTTCTGAAATATCTACCTCATTCCTTGTTCCTTCCTTCCTTCCCTTCCCCCACTGCTATGCTGGGACGTTTGTTCCCAGAGGGGGCTGCTCTGGATAAAACCCACTTCCAGGTAGCTTTCTGAGACAAAAGGAGACTCGTGAAGACTGCATCTTGAAGACTGAGCTCATTGAGAGGGCTGAGCAATGAGGGGTGCAAACAGCTATGTCAATTCTTAGGCAGTATCAATAGAAGCTCAGGAACGCTTTGGACCACCACGTAAGCACGGGTGAGTTTCTCTTCTGTGCCCTGACTTCCCCCCCAGGCCCTCCTTCCTAGGGCAGGACCTTGAGCCACAAGATATGCCACTGTGTGTGGACCGCTGTGGGCCAGTAATTGCCTTTGACCCTCTCCCACTGTTCAGCTACCTTGGCCAATTAGTAGTGATATGGGGGTTTGCAGATACAATAACAAAGACACCTTAACAAAGACATAACAGGCCTGCCCAGTTGTGATCATTTAAAAACAGAAACAACTTGACTCCGACACTAAACACATACTGATTTTTCTCTGTCTTTCAAACCAACAACAGTATTTCTTGTCCCATATACACATTATCAAGTGTCAGCATCTCTGTGAACAATTTCCGTATCTTACTTCTCACACTGTTTCTGCCTAGCTGGTGTTCCTGTTCTCATTTTGCAGACACGAGCGAATAAAGGCTCAGAGATGTTAAGCAATTTATCTAATCTCAGTAGCTGCTGAGACGCAGTCAGGCTTCAAACCCCAAAATCTGACACCGTAGTCTCCATAAAGAGAGAGGATGTGCACATACCCTAAGCCCAGCGGATCTCCGAAAATAATTTCTTCGATGGCAAACCTACAATTCATCTTAATTTTTTCCTGATGTTCCACAGTGTCACTGCCGATTTATTCCATCATTTTGGAATTACTGGCTAATAGGATGGCCCAGCTCCCCGTTCTGGCTGCCGTTTTCAGTCTTCACGAGTAACCAACCACTGATAGCAACGGGGATGTTTCCCGACAATTTAATTACACTGTGATTCTTCTTCCCCGCCCCACCCCCACCCCCCCCCGTCCCTTGTTGGTCTGGAGGCTAATTCCTATGTTTCGTCTTGAAAACACGACTGCTTTCACGATAGAGGGGAGACTCACCTGCCTTAGAAGATCTGAGGCACAAAAGGGCCAGAGGGCCCCCGAGGCAGGGGAACTCTGTATCTTCTTGGTGGCTGGTACCTTGGTCATCTTGGAAATCCTTCAGGCTTCCCTGTGTCCCCCAGGGAAGATTGTGTGTGTGTGTGTGTGTGTGTGTGTGTGTGTGTGTGTTTTCTTCCAGAATCTTTTACCTCAGCAGTCACTGGTGTCAGGGGCTCCAGCAATTTCTCCCCGACTCGCAGGTCCTAAAGACACAGACTCCAGACAGGTTTCTGACTGGGGAGGAATGGGAAAGCAAGTCTTCTGGGATCCCCACCAACAGAATAAGGAAGTCCCGGCAGGGTGAAATCAGGCAAGCCTGGACTTAACTTATTAGACAGTCACAAACTTTTATGAGTTTTTCCCCGTTTGGGAAGGGGATATCTTTGTCTTCTAGAAACAAAAATAAAATATGAACTAAAAAAATAAAACTCCACTGACAAAGTCTGAGGGGGGCCCATGGAGGGGCCCGCAGACACCCAGCCTGAGGCTGAGCGCCCGCGGAGAGAGAGCGAAAGTCGCGGCTAACTGCAGAGCCGGGGACCCACTCGGTCGCCTGGCAACGGCACGCCCCGTGCAGGTCTTCCTCATTGGCTAGGCTTGGTGGGGGCGGGGTCGCGAACTCTCCCAAGCCATTGGGTCCGTGGCTGGGAGCGGGCGGCTGGCCGGGGAGCTACTTTCTCCAAACTCTGGTTTCTCCTCTCAGGCCTGAGGGCCTTGACCCTTTGTCTCCGTCTAACTACAAGCGACTCCTTCCTTCCAAACTATCGTGTCCTGCCATAGCCCGCCAGTGATTTCTTGTGCCTTGGGGTGGGTAGATTAATGTGGGCCTTTAGCCCTGCAATTACTTTAACCTGAGATTTCTCTCCTTTATCCACCTGACAAACACACCTATTCATCCTTCAAATCCCTCATACACACACACACACATATACATACACACATAAATGTATACATACATACGTCTATGTGTGCATGACAATTAAGTGCTTGGAATGTGCTAGATACTGTGCTAAGTGTTTTACATATATTAACTCAGTCCTCACAGCATGTCATTAAGGAAGGTATTTCCTTACCCTCTTTTACAGACTAGGAAACTGAGGCACAAAGAGATTGACATCTTTAAGGTCACACAGAAAGTGTGTGAACTGGAATTCAAAGCCAGACGTGTTTGATTCTAAAATCCAACCTCTTAATCACTTAGCCTCATGACCCTGGATAAGATGCCTAATGTGGCTGAAGCTTGGCTTCCATTTCTTTCAAATGGGGAAAAATAACTTTACCACAGGTGACAAGGATTAAAACAGATCACTATGTAAAGGCTGAGCACATGAGGAGTCCTAGTTAAGTGGCAACTATTATTATTATGTCCCGACACCACATTCTCAGGAAGAATTAGTCATTTTTGCAGTGCAGTGTTCATTTCACACCAGATATTAATACTGATATTTATTGATCACACGCTCTGTGCCAGGTGCTCTACTGAGCACTTTACATTAACTCATTTAATCCTTCCAGTAGCCCTACTGGGTAGGTTCCAGCTTGCAGATTGATTGCACATGTTCTGATTTACACGCTTTATCCTTGGCATTATTTCACACTGGTTCAATCTGACTCTTCTTTTATTTCTAACCCTTGAGCTGCTGAGGATTATGATGTCACCACAGCTGTACGATGACCTCACCTTCTCTTTAGAAGGCCTTGCTGCAAGATGACCCTCCAGAGAATACAAAATGCCCAGCCACACAGCTCCAGATGCTGATGCTTAGAAGTCGTTATTTTCCTGCCATTGTCCGAAGACTGAGTCTGACCTTTCTTTTTACAGGAAGTTTTGGTCTTCCTGCTTCCTTTGTGGGCAGCATTAAGCCATCAGCAAGCACTTTCAGAAGGATGCAGATAAACTGAATTGTGTTCAGAATATGGGGCTGGGGATGAGAGGGGATGAGGAAAACAAGACAGAATGAGAAATGTTCAGCCCCAAGCAGAACAAAGGGCTGTCTTCATACAGCTTTGAGGGACAGGCTTGGCAAAGAAGAGCTCAATCAGTTTTGTGTGAGCCCAAAGAGTAGGAAAAAGGTTTCGGCTCAATATGAGGGAATACACGGCAGAACACTGTTTTAAAAGGCATGAGTTCTGGAGTCTGACTGGCTTGGCCACGGAGCAGCCTCAATGATCATCTCATAGGTCTATGATGAAACCAAATGGGTAATTCACGTGAAGAACAATGCCTAGCAAAAAGGAAGTGCACAATTAATGTTAGTTCTTCTTTCTTTTGTTATTAACACCCACCTCTCAGAGGCATGCAAGAACTGGAAATAGAAAGGGCTCTGGAAAAGAAAAGACCTGTGTTCAAATCCTGGCTGTGTCATTTACTGGTAATGAGATCTTGGTCAAGTCATTTCACCTCTGCAAGCCTCAATTTCATCACGTACTATATATAAATAGTAATGGTGATGCCCACTTTGTACAGTTGGGAGGACTAAGTGAAATGATGAATGTATACAGCCTAGTATCCAGCAAGGGCTCAAGGCATGCTAGTAGTAGTTCTCTTTTTGGTTCATGAATGGGTATGTCCCATAGAGAGAGAATGAGCTCCCCAGCACTAGAGGTATTCAACCCAATAAGGTCACATTCTAAGGTCCTGGGGGTTAAGACTTCAACATATGAATTTGTGGGGAGACACAAATCAGGCTATAACACTGAGCTACTTCAAACTAAAAGCTCACACAGTGTTGGATAGATGTTGCCGTGTTTCCCTCAAAACTGTAAAATCTTCCTATCTTCTCCTGTGAATTTTCTGTGGCACCCTGGGGTGCCTCAGTGCACAGTTTGGGAACCACAGGGCTACAGGCCTGTTTTCTTTGAGCTGAGCAACCTTTTTATGCAAGAAGTTAGCACCCACATGAGTAGACATAAAAATGACGTCTAATGGGAGTTTGTTAATACCTTGCCCCCTGGCCCCTAAGGTACGACATCTCTGGAGCATGTTCTGTAGTCCCCCAGAGGTCCCCTTCAGGACTGCCTTGGGGCAGCCCCATTGTCTGTAGCAGCTGCCTGCTCACCAAGCACCCAGCATCAGCTTCTTCCCTTTTCCTGTTGCACTTTCCCACTCCCCTTCTGGTACTGCCTGGATGGCCTCCCAAATATACCCAAATTCTTGTTCCGAGGTCTGCTTCTGGGGAACCCAAGCTAGGTCGATGCTGGCTGGGATAACCAGGAGGTCAGACTAAGTCAGGTCTGGAAATCTTCCCTCTGCCTCATCTCGTGACCTGGACTTGCTACCATCTTGGGTCCCCTTGCCCCATAATCACCTCCTTACCCCTGCTCTCATGAATACATCTCTAGGAGTTTCTGGATATTCTCTGTATCCCTTAAACACGCAGAGGCCAATGTGTTTTCAGATATGCAAATATATCCCCCAACAGTGACATATTTGACAACTTGGATATGAAGTGATTGTTTAAATCTTAATTCCTGGGTCATTTATGCAAAATAGGAACTGAAAGACATGAAGCGATGGGTGTTCTCTCCTCCCAATTCACCAAAAAGAAAGGCATCTGAAGGGATTAAAAATAGATGTATCAAGTAGAAGAAAAATTTTGGAATGTGTCGGACGCCAGCTGGGGTAGCCGAAGTAAAATCTCCAAATCTGCTAAACACCTGAATTTCAGTCAGTACTACATACGTCTGGCATTAAAAACCTATTCGAAAAGTCATCATTTTCTGCATATCTTTAATATACTTGTCTGTGCTGCATCTAGCACCCAGAGGACTCCTTCTGGGTATTTTTACTGAAATGTCAGCACTGTATTTACAAATTATGGGGCCCAGGGAAAAAGTGAAACTTGGGGCTCCTGTGACACCTGGTAGCTGGCAATCTATTGATGAATTGCTGCCAGGATGAGATATCGCTGGACAATGTCTATTTGCACCATGTCCCCGATTCCTATACTTCATTAGGTTAAAGAAGGATGACTGCCTGCTACATGGCCCCTTGGGGGCTCTATGGCCCCACCCCATCCCTACCCTATTCTCCAAATTACACCCCAGGGGGAGGGTGGTGAATTTGAATCTTTGTAAACAAAGAGAAGAAAATGCAACATTAACCTCTCTTTCCTCCCCTTTCTCTTTACTTTGGTCCACCAGACCCAGCAACAGGGGATGTGGTATGGTCTGTAGGAATATTCTTCGTGAATTTCCCCCACTGGAGATCTAGGTTGTGGCGGAAGCTACCTCCATAGATAAAGCTTTCCATTCCTACACTCTTCAGCATACCACCTGCTGGGCTGCAGGACAGATTGGAATAAGGGGATTATGAATCCCATTTTACCAAGATAGAAATTGAAGCTCTTGGGATCTAGCACTTTGTTAGTGGTGTAGGTTGCCTGAGAATCCAGGTTTTATGATTCCAAATTCAGCAGCCTATTTCAGCACTCTGCCACAGTGGCTTCACGCTTCAAGGTGTGTGTGTGTGTGTGTGTGTGTGTGTGTGTGTTCGTTCACACAGCAGGACACCCCAGGGTTATCTCTGCAAGGCCCCCCAAAACAAGGGATTTCCAAGCCACCTGGAAGCTTTTAATTTCTCTAGCCTTCTGGGGGAAACCTTTCCTTTTTTTTTTTTTTTTTTTTTGTTTTTTTTTTTTTTTTTTTTTGTTTTTTTTTTTTTTTTTTTTTGTTTTTTTTTTTTTTTTTTTTTGTTTTTTTTTTTTTTTTTTTTTGTTTTTTTTTTTTTTTTTTTTTGCTGTTTGTTTTTTTTTTCCTTTTTGCGGGCCTCTCACGGCTGTGGCCTCTCCCGTTGCGGAGCACAGACTCCGGACGCGCAGGCTCAGCGGCCATGGCTCACGGGCCCAGCCGCTCCGCGGCATGTGGGATCTTCCCAGACCGGGGCACGAACCCGTGTCCCCTGCATCGGCAGGCGGACTCTCAACCACTGCGCCACCAGGGAAGCCCGGGAAACCTTTCCTTTAACATCCACATAAGACATCTCCATGGGCGCGGGCAGAGGGATAAATTAGGAATTTGGGAGTAGCATATACACACTACTATATATA